GGGGGGAAGACTTACATTGCTTCCCTTCCAAACCTGATAAAGCCTATTTGGTTTGGCTTTTTCTTGTTCCATGGAAAAGAAGAAAAACCAACAAGCAACTCAAACCCTAAATTCGGATTGTAGTTAATTTCCAATCACAAAACCCTCTTTATTGCTTCCTTTGCATCAGCTCACATGAGAAAATGACCTCAAAATTGAATCTCTTCAATTCTTGATCAACCAAGTCTAAAACCATTTGTTGGAGTTTTTATTAGTGGTTTTGTTAGAATATCGAAAAATGGTGAATGCCGTTGTCCAGAGAGAAGATGGTTTATGATATGATCAAGAAACCAGCTGCCATTTAGCTCAACTATTTCTGTCCCATGACGGATTTTCCCAGGAACAATATTAGTTTTTTCTGTTTATCTTCGTTTGCATTCTCTTTAACTAAAACAATTGAATTTGGGATCAATAGCCAAAAACACCCCTTCTTACCTATTGAAAATTGCAGAAGATCCTCATATTTGAAACCTTTTGTATGAAAAACCCCTACCGTTAAGATTTGTTAGGTTTTCCGTTAGAAACAATAAAAAATGTCAATTAAAAAGGAATATTGCAATTTCAGTACCCAATTTTTTTAAATTTTTACAAATTAAATCCAAATTTTTTTATATGTACCACCTACAATCCCAAATTTTTATAACTTTATTTTCCACCCCCACCTTACTTTATCTTCTTTCCCAAAAATTTTTTTATATAAAAAATCAATCCTTCCTATGTTTAAAATCAAATTCTTTCCTCAAATCCTTCTGGCTACCAATTTTCTTTGTCATCTTCTTCTTAGTTCTTGTCCTTTTAACTCAAGTGAATTTGTGGCCGAAGATTTCATGACTCTTCGCACTTTCATGTAATTTTTTTTTCTGGAAAAGGTTGCTATATTTCCAAAACAGATGTAAATTACATAATTTGGTTCTTTGGAGTTTAATTTCACTAATTTTAGTTTTATGGATTTGCAAAATAGTTGTGGAGTGTGTATGTAGAGTGTGAATACAAGCTAAGGCATGGCAATATACACAGCTGAATGTTCCCACACTTTTCATTTACCTTGCAAATGTTGATCCCCAAAGGCGATGTAATGATTGTGATTAATGACGTTGTATGAATTATATAACAAGATCACAATAATGAAATAAGGTTAAAAGTAAAGAAATCAAATAGAGTTAAGTAGAAGAAACAATGTTTTATTATAACGATAATATGGAAAGAAAATTACAACACAACAATTTTTGTTTGAACTAAACAGAAAGAAGATGCCATTATTTATAGGTACATATCATACTATAACGATGGAAATAATATGGAATAAGGAAATAATATATTTTCAATATAATCACGTGAAAATAAGGAAACAAAATTTTTCCTTATTTGGGTCATAAATCCAATAATCTTCAACTTGACACAAATTTCGTTGCAACGAACGAAGCTCCAAAATTTCTCCATCTGAAAAAATATGTCCAACTGCATCGAAATAACCGAACTCTTCAAAACAGTAACAAAAACTCTCCATCACAAAATATTTTCCTCTGCCGAGCATCCACAAGCAACACCCAAACCCTACTCCCATTCCCAAAATTCCATCAAGAAATTACTGTTAACCAAATAAGGTCAAAGCACACCATGTAGCAACAGCCATACCAAATACTTGATTAGAAGACCCTTTGCCAGAACTGTTGCCTTCAACGATCCTGAAAGCATCATAGACATCACTGACACGACAGTACTTATGCTCCATGAGTCCAACCCTGGCAACTGAACACAGTGTATCCGCTGAAATTGGTGGCAATGTGGACTCACCAATGCTTCCCTGAGCAATATTCTGAACCGACCTAGAACCCTTCATAAGAGTTACTGTACCAAACTGAATATCCACCACGATACTGAATTTGTCTAGATGTCTCTTAACTGGTTCTACACTTTCCTGGAAGATGTACAGCTGAGACTTTTTTTTTGTCCTTCCAGTACAATTCGGATATACCTTCAGACCTTCAAGATTCCACCTTTACTAGAGAATTTATACCCTTTTGAATATATGACACTCAGTGAGATGAGATTCCTTTTCAGGTCTGGAACATGTCCAACCTGATCAATTCTTCTAGCCGTCCCATTCTGTAACATTAGTCTAACTCGACCGATTTCAGCAACACAACAAGACTGGTTGTTTTCCATTACAACTCCACCTTCCTTGACAGCCTCATATGTTTGAAAGAAATTCTGATTGAAATGCATATGATACGAATATACCGAATCGAGAATTCACTTCTCGTTATGTTTAGACTCCACGTCAAATACCATGATTAACATTACATCACCGCCATCCGAAAAATCTGGGTAACATTAGTCTCATTCAAATTGCATGACTGCTCCTTATGATTTGCAGCTAAATTACTTTTAGCCTACAATTTATCGCAATCTTTCTTAACGTGTCATTTCCTTCTGCAGTAGAATCAATACAAATTGCTAAAGTTCGTCCTCAATCTACTCTTTCATCAATCACGATGAGATACCAGAGCTTCCTTATCTCTTGATGTAACTCCAACCAAATGCTTCATTTTCTCTTTTGAGAATAGAGCATCTTAGACATCCTCAATAGTTAAAGTATCACGACTATATAGAATAGTGTCCCGAAACGTTGAATAAGAGGCGGGCAGTGAACATAACAGAATCAAGGCCAGATCCTCCTCATCGTACTTAATCTCCAATGTCTCTAAATTTGCAATTATTTCCTTGAACACAACAATGTGGTCTTCCAATAACCCGCCTTCCGCCATGCGATGGGAATACGGCTTTTGCCTTAGAGCCAATTTGCTAGTGAGACTTTTAGTCATGCATAATTGCTCAAATTTCAATCACAAAGCAGCCGTTGTTTTCTCTTTCAAGACTTCCTGCAAAATATTATTGAATAAGTGAAGACAAATTTACGATAAAGCCTTTTAATCCCTCCATTGTCCAATTAGTTGGCATCTTTTTAAAATCCAGCAACGCATTATCCAAATCCAACTATGCCAAAATAGCCCTTATCTTTACTTGCCACAAAGAAAACTTTGTATTGTGATCCAACAGCGAAATATCATATTTCAATATAGTCATATCTAAAAAATCACAATTAATTCACGAAGAACATGCAATCTAGCTCTGATATCACTTGTTGATCCTAAAGGCGACGCAGATTGAGACTAATAACGTTGTATGATATATGAAACAAGATCACGACAATGAAACAAAGTTAAAAGTAAAGAAATCAAAGAGAGTTAAACAGAGGAAACGATGTTCTATTATAGCGACAATATGGAGAGAAAATTACAACATAACAATTTTTGTTTGAAATAAATTGAAAGAAAAGGTCACTGTTTATAGTACATACCATAAAGATAGAAATGATATGAAATATGGAAATGATATATTTCCAATAAAATCATAGAAACAATTTTTTTCACATGAAAATAAGGAAACAAAATCTTTTTCCTAATTTAGATCATAAACCCAACAGGAAAGCCACTCGTGTAAAGAATCAAAACTCCCTAATTTACTCAGCTTGCAAGACTACCTGGAAAAATGTGCCTTTACTTTTCAACTTCCAATATCCATATACTTCAAGAACAAACACAATTTAATGAAACCAAATAAAAATAGAGTACAATTAGAGCAATCCCCAAAAATTAACCAACAAGAAACGAGGGCATTCAATGATGATGAGTCATTGGTTTCTCCCAGAACACTCATTCATATTCTAGAAGCTAATGAGGAGAAAGATTCGGCTGCTTGAGGTAGAGGTGAGTGGCAGTTTCTGACGGTTTCCTTCCAGGTTGGGAAGGTCGTTGCAGGCAATGGTGACGACGTGACTGTAGATTTGGTTTTTGGGTCTAGGAGTGTGGGGGGTGGGGGTGGGGAGGGATTTTGGAGTTAATTTGCATAAGGCATTTTTTGATTTCACATCGTTATTGTTTTGTTTGTTTGGGTAAGACATTTCTTAATATGTGGAGTCTTAATTGGATTTTTGGGAAAGAAGATGAAGTAAAGTGAGGTGGCGCGGGGCGGGGCGGAGTGGTGTGGTGTGGAAAATAAAATTCGAAAAAATTGGGATTGTAAGTTGCACATATAAAAAATTTGGATTTAATTTGTAAAAAATAAGAAGTTTGGGTATGAAATTGTAATTATTCCTTTTTATTTTTGACTTTTTTTATTATTTTTAATGAAAAATCTAATAGATCTTAACGACAAGGGGATTTTTAACACAAAAGGTATCAAACATGGACTTTTTTTAGAATTTCCAATAGACGGGGAGGTACACCGCACGTTATACCATTTACAGGGAGTTTTCTGCTATTAATTCATTGATTTTGTTTAGTCTCTCTCTCTCTCTCTCTCTCTCTCTCTCTCTCTCTCTCTCTAAGCTAAAGTGTCACTTTTGACCTTGGAAGCACGGACCTTAATTTTCGAGTCAAGAAAATGGAAAACTGTATCCTTATCAAGGGTTTAAAGAGTCCCTTATTTTGAGGTATTTAGCATTTGTTTGAGGACAATATTGGTAAAAAAGTATTAATAAATGGTTATAAATCTTATACGATGTATGGTTAACAGTGATTTTGAAAAAATGGTTTTCAAAAAATCTCACCCAAAAAATTTTTAACCCCTATTTGGTAAAGATTAAAATCAAAATTTTAGTAGATTTCGATAAATATTGATTGAATGTGCAGTTAAAAGTTGTGGGTCTTATGAAATGTGGTTAAAATTAATTATTAACTTTGATTTAGATTTTAATAAAAAAATTTAAATATACAAAATAGGGTCTTAGAAAATTTCTTGATTATTTTTGCTTTGAAGTGAGAGGATTCCTAATACCTGAATATGTCGCTAATTGAGAAAATATCAAGTAGGTGACTAGGTACATAGTTAGACAAACTGAATAAAAAAATATTATATAAAGTATTCTATTCCACTTGAAGCAATGAAGCCTTAGTCTTTAGTAGGATTTTATAGGGCTGGGCAAATCTCCCGAATCGAACCGACCGAACCGAACTCGAATCCGAACCGAACCGAACCCGACGGTTCTTGTCAAATTAAATACCCGAACGGGTATCTGAATTGAGAACCGACGGGTACGGTTCGGTTCTCGGTTCTAGACCAAGAACCGAAGAACCGAATAAGAACCGAATATTTCTATTTTTTTTTTATATTGAGTAAATCAAATTATTTTAATTTTAATTTTTTCTAAACAAATTAACAAATTAACGATTTCTAAATTCAAATTTTTGACCAAATAATTTGTTTCATTTCTAATTTTTTAATTTTTAACCCAATTACCCATTTTATTGTTACATTTCTTAGCCAAGCAAGATCAAATCCACTAAATAACCCTAAACACCAACACTA